CTGAATGAGAAAACATCTGCTCACATCTAATAACCAGAAATCACAGAGGAGCAGCTCATGTCAACAGCAGAAGTCATCCTCGCTCCTCCTCCGAGATACTTGTGTTTATAAAGTCTTCATCCTTCACGCTCAGAGCACATATATGATCTTTGATATTTATTGAATGCGCCCGCTGTATAACCTTGGGTCCCATTGTGGCCGTGTGTAGTGTATAGAGCAATATTTCACTCAGGCCCCTCGTATTTCTCAGCAGAGTAGTTGTACCATATAGAGGCCGTTGCTCTTGGGTGGCCTTGGATTTATGTGCCTGGATGTGGTAGTGGTGTGGAGTTATTTGTGCAGACTCTAAAATGTTATCAGTAAAGTGACAATTCACATTAAGATGTTGGACAGATGACCCAAGATATGTGCATTTATGTTAGAAGTGAGCTATATTGACAAGATATCCCAGTATGTTTGTGCGTATCCCAATAATAAATTAGAATTTACAGGTTAATCCATCAGAAATTATCTCTTTAAAGGTCCTATATTACACAAAATGGACTTGTGAACTTTAAGCCATGCTAGAATCAAAACATACCTCGAGTTGTGTTTTTTTCATTCACAGATATTTTAGTAATGTTGCTTTATTACTCTGTCTGCATGTCCAAAGCTCAAAATGCTCTGTTCCAACTTGTGATGTCATCAGGGCTGGGTATCATTAAGAACAGGCTGATATGATACATATCTCGTTACAGTGCACTTTCGATTTATACAATATATTTCAAACTGATTCGATACGGTTCAATAAAAATAAAGGCTAAATCATGGCTGTGATACTAAAAGTCTTTTTTAAACCACTTCTGGTGCAAACTGAATATGAAACACACATTTTAATCATCAAAACTGTGAAAATGTCAAATGTGTCACATAAATGAGTTTCCTTCTTCTAAAAAAGCAATAAAACTGTAGCTGTAACAAAATAGTTCAGTAATATATGCCAAAAATACTCTTGCCGATATATCGATACAGCAGCCCACAATATCAGTACTGTATCATCACATAAAACGATCTGATATATCGATATTTCGATATGTTTGCACACCCTTAGATTTAGTAGTAGTAGTTTGTTTAGTAGAGATAGGTGAGTTTCAGCTGACGTCATTGTTATTAAAAGCCCGCGTTGCATGCTGGGAAATATTTTGGTCGGAGGCAAGAAACACGGTAGCGTCAAACACAGTGCATAACCTCCCGTATTTATCCCTGATAATGGTAAATTCCTGCTGCATTATCGGATGCACAAATAGAAGCACAGAAGAAGGAAAATGTCTTTTTCGTATTCCGAGTGAAAAGAACCACTAACGGTGAATTAAACGGCTTTCAAACATCTGCAGAGCAAACGTAGAAGATCCTAACAAACCGTGGACTCCAACAAGTTCAACAACACATCGAGACTCTTGGAGGTTTTCATCTTTTCTGCTGTGAATGGCCCAGGAGTTTCCACCAAGTCATTGTGGATATCGCCCAAGTGAATATTTGTCCAGGTAGTTGGTGATTCCGACCAGAAATTTGGTTTGGTCCACCTTTTGTCGGGGTTGAAAAGGGTGATTTGGCTCCATCGATGCTTCTGACCAATTTCTGGTCAAATGGTCTTGGGTCCTCTGCCGTTAGAGTGGATAAATAACCGGGATCAATACCCTTTACGTGCTTTCTCACTCCGTCCGTCATGTTGAATTAGTATTTCTTGCCTTCTTGCAAAATAATTCCCAGCATGCAACGCATGCTTTTGTCAACAATGAAACTCGCCTATTATCAGATGACATCACAAGGTGGAGTCTTTTCCATTTGAGGAAAAAAAAAAAAGCCTAAATATGCAGGGTTTGTGTGTTAAATGTGTGAATGAAACAAAGCACAACCCCAGGTATGTTTTTGATGTGGAAACATTATAACAGACCAGAAAATAGCATAATATGGGCCCCTTAACATTCAAATTTTACTGATCTTCAAAACGGTATCAACTCAATTTTGGTGATCAGAACTTTCTGTCAATTACAAAGTTGTTTGTCCGGAAAGACAGGTTTATTTTAATTCACTTTTACATGCATGTTTTAAATACAATAGGAAAAACTTTCCAGCTTGCAAAATGGTTTGAGGTTTATATTGCCTTCCTGTCTCCGCAAAAGCAAATCTGTTAGAATGATTGTGCTTACCACATCGCATGAATTGAACTCAAGGTGATGGGCGCTCTCATTTTGACACCATCCAATAAACAACAAACAACAACAGAATTAACTGCTGCAGATTAGTGAACTATCCTCCGGCGTCCCCCAGCCCTTCTTGTTTTCATGATGTATTTAGCTAATGGGCTTTCTCTCACTCAGATGTTCAGACATGATCATTATCTCTCATCTCTCCGCTAGCATCACAGCCTGATTTATTCACTGTCTGATTTAGACTCTGTAATAAAGGCTCTTGGCGATGCTCCAGTACAGCCAAATAATTATGTACCACTGGCTTTTTACGACTCTTCAAACTCAGATCTTAGCTATTTCAACAGGCTCGTCCACCATCTGTCTGTCGGGGCCAGGAGATAAAATGACGTTTTGTGAATTGTGTCCAGCCATGGGGTTTATCAGCGTAATCCGGAGTGTGAATCACTGTCCGTCGATTCCAATTCCCAATTCCTGATTCCCAAGGGCACTAGGTAAATTATGGCTCATTTGAGAGATTGACACTTCCTTTACAGAAAAGATAAAAAGAGGAGATTACTGGATTACAAATTGACTGGGGACTGTCAGTCAAAAGGTTTACTTGTGAGTTAAGGCAGCTTACTCAGTGTTTTTTGCAGGTTTATATGAGACTCTGGTGGCACAAGCAAAGTTTTGGAGTATATATGGGTCCGGTCAAGTGGTAACGGAGGGAAACAGGGTCAGATTTTTGACATTCAAATGTCTCTTATTCAGAAACTAGAGGGACTATTGAAATAAGTAAAGTATCAGAATGTAGGAAAGAGTTACACTCCAACAGGGTCAAGTTAAACCTGTGATATTCTTTCAAGTTGTTGACAAAAAATGTAAAAACTCATGTTGGTAACGGAGGGAATGAAATATGCAGCACTTTTTGAGCAATAAATCCAAACAGTGATAACTCTTGGTTCTCACTTACATATCTTTAACAAACTGGTTTGAATATTTGCTTCATATAGTTTTCTACCATATGGTACAAGATTAGGTTGAAAAAGCTTACTTTTTGAGTCATGAGGTTTTTTATTAAGAAAGGTCATGGTAACGGAGGGAAAAGTAACAGAGGGAAAATTGTGCAAACAAGTAGAAGGTGCAGGATTTTACATCATTTGTCACTTTTTTCTTCCGAATACTTTAATATTACTTCAAAATGAAAGGAAACTATTTCTATAAAATATGTCAGTCCTTCCAAGCACATTTTTATCATTTTAAATACATAAAAAAAAAATCATGTGCCTTCATCAACAGTTCAAAGATGGAATAACACAAGATATGATGAAATACATCCATTTATTTACATGATTTGCAGGTCTTTGAAATTTGGGAAATAATTTTTGTTCCATGTTTCATACATGGTCTGTTTAAAACAGATGGAACTTTAGAACCAAAAATGGTACAGAAAAAAGGTCAACAGTTTCATAAACTAGAGTACATATGTATCTGTTCAATACATTTTTATATCAGATGCATTAACTTGAATTTTTGGCCTTGATGTTTACTTCTGCTTGACCGGGCCCATATTAAAGATTCAATAAAGTTACTACTATAAATTTATTATAACAAAACAAGCAAAAAGTATAATTTTTAGTAAGAATTTTCTGTTCAGCTTCTCCTAAGACTACAGGGACAAAAATTTGACTGTGGGGAGCCACTGTGGTCTGTTCTATTAATGAGAAACATTGGCTTACTATTGGGTTGTCAATTTGGACAAACCATTGTGCCAAAATATTCAGCTTGCAGTGTTTATGTATTTATTTATTTGTAATCATTATTCAGGTAATTGGTAACTTTGGGTACATTTTGGCTACATTTACATGGCCAGTAAAATCTGAATCTGAGAACCGATTACTGTGTTTATACCAGAATTTTTATAATTATTCTATTTGTGCCAGATTACTCACATCAGATTTATGTCTTTTTAACAGCAATATCAACCTATCATTTAATATATGAAAGACGGAACATTCATTTTTGGTCATCAGTATTTATTGTAGGGACTTTTTCTGTGCACTAGTCGGAAACTTTTTGGTATTTTTCTGTTCCTCAACTAGATTTGAGATGTAGAGAGTTGAATAAATAACTTTTGTGACTCATTAGATTAAAGATAAATACCTTCTTCTGCTTTTTTTTTTTTTTTTTTTTTTTTTTTTTGCTGATTATTTGTTGGAGTTTGTGTTTTTTAATATATTTTTTGGAATAATCTTGCTTTAGACTAATTGTGTCATACATTTATTTCAATATTATCATTTTTTTTTTGTTTATTTTCTCTTCAACATTATGCAGTATATATATATATAATGTACATCAAAATTTGTTATAATGACAGATCTAGTGAGTTCTAGAAATCAGATAATGATCAGATTGTTCATGTAGATGTAAACATAGACAGTAACTTGCTTATTTTATCTAACGTACAGTCCCATGTGATGCTACTTCTTTTTGTATGTGATCGTTTTGACAGCTTTCCTATTTCTACTCTGGACTGTATCATTGTCTTGTCTTGTAGCTATTACAGTGAATTGAGTGCGCTGAAATCCTCTCATGTCCGTCGCCCATGTACAATCCAATATTGATTTGCACTGGCCTGGCATCTCACCTGCAGCTGTGGGATTGCTCTGATTAGCTTCATGCTTGTTATTTGCTCAGCAGAAGAAACACAATTAGACTCTTAATCGTTTTGAATGAACAAATGTAGCTAGCCAAAGTCCCGCGGGACTCTACTCTTGCTTTTGTGTTATCTGTGAGTTAATGCCTTCCTTTCCTGTTTCTTTTCATCAGTGCGGTACCTGCTGAGGAACAACGTGAGCCCCGATCTGTGCAATGAAGACGGCCTCACAGCTCTGCACCAGGTAAGCTCATTTTGGTTGATTTGGAAATACTGTATGCAAAAACTAAGGGATTGGAAATAGAGTTGCACAGTTTTGTACTAGTCTAATCTAAAATCTAATCTAAAAAAAAAATAAATATCATGAAGAAATAAAGGCAAGGTAAGGCAAGGCAAGTTTATTTGTATAGCACAATTCGTACACAAAGTAATTCAAAGTGCTTTACAGAATAAGAAATACATTAAAATCATAATAAAAACAAATCAAAACATAAATAATCATGAAGATTAAAATTGAAAAAGAGAGAAATAAATTGGAGAGAAGAGTGCAGAATGAAAACCTTTCAGTTATATGCACAGTTAAACAGAAATGTTTTGAGCCTGGATTTAAACAGCTTGAAAGTTCCACTCTATGTGCCATGTGTTTCTATAGGCGAGTTTCATTGTTTACAAAAGTGCGCGTTGCATGCTGGGAATTATTTTGGTCGGCAACACTAATTCAACATGACGGACAGAGCGAGAAAGCACGTAAAGGGTATTGATCCTGGTTATTTATCCACTCTAACGGCAGAGGACCCAAGACCATTTGACCAGAAATTGGTCAGAAGCATCGATGGAGCCAAATCACCCTTTTCAACCCCGACAAAAGGTGGACCAAACCAAATTTCTGGTCAGAATCGCCAACTACCCGGCTAAATATTCACTTGGACGATATCCACAGTGACTTGGTGGAAACTCCTGGGCCATTCACAGCAGAAAAGATGAAAACCTCCAAGAGTCTCGATGTGTTGTTGAACTTGTTGGAGTCCACGGTTTGTTAGGATCTTCTACGTTTGCTCTGCAGATGTTTGAAAGCCGTTTAATTCACCGTTAGTGGTTCTTTTCACTCAGAATATGAAAAAGACATTTTCCTTCTTCCGTGCTTCTATTTGTGCATCCGATAATGCAGCAGGAATTTACCATTATCGGGGAGGAATATGCGAGGTTACGCACTGTGTTTGACCACTATCTTGTTTCTTGCCTCTGACCAAAATATTTCCCAGCATGCAACGCGGGCTTTTAATAACAATGACAATATCTATGGGTTTGACTTTCTGAAGTGAGTGACAAAAAATCTTGAACTTTTTCATGGTTTTCTCATTGTTTGAGATTGACTAGTAAGTACTCTGATTGTGATTAGATTTGTGATCTGTAGTTTTAGACAGACTTTATTGATCCACCAGGGAAATTATTTGGACATAGTAGCTCACTCATCACAGTATATCATAACAACAAATAGCCAAAAAATTAATTGTAATAATGAATTCAAAAGAGGTCAAATATGGCATAAATGTACTAGCATATGTACAAGTAAAAATAAAATATGGAAATATAGAATATACTATAATATAGAATACAAATGTATCTCAGCTATATAGAAGAGGTCACAAGGACAAACTATTGATCCACAAGGAAAATTATTTGTTTAAAAACTTAAGATTCCGTCCAGAGTGTACATTGTAAACAGCTGCAATCAACTTTTGAGAGAAGACTCAAATATAAACGAAGAAAACAATACCAAAATCCAGTGAATTTCAGAACATTTTCATATGGGTCTAAACTAAAGGTACACCAAGACAGAATATTTTGTTCCTTACAGAGGGCACAATTTTATCTAAATAACTGCAGCCTTTGTGATTTCATAATTGCTCCAACTAAAAATGTGATTGTGGTTAGTTTGAAATATATTTTGCAGCCCTAAAATACAGGTGTTGGTGTTCTTATCTACATTGCTTTAAATAAGGTCCGCTTAAAAGGTGCTGTGGTCCAAAGTCATTTCTCACTTACCTTATGAATTCTGACGATCTTAATTATTCACCTCAATGGTTTTTATAGGCACTCTTTTCATAACTTTTAGAGGCCAGGGCAGAGTTTGACCATCACAGTAATGATAACAATTTGCATGCTAACTGAGCACTTCCTAATAATCAGACAGTAAACAACTTTATAATTAGACGCAGACAGTGAGCGAACAGTGGACTTAGTATTTTGAATATATCTGTACTGAGGCAAGTTTTGCTGAAATACATGGTTCAGGTCCTTAAAAATACGGATAAGTGGAAGAGAAATGAAAGAAATTCAAACGAGGACATGCAAGCTTAAGTGGATGATGCTAATGTAGCCTTTGTGATTGCTGATGGGATATTTGTACTGTTGTACTGGTGTTCCCCACAGAAGCTTTTAAGCACTGCTAAAACCTGATGCATATTCAAATGTTTCTGTGTGGTATTAATCTACTTTACTCACTTAGCAGGTTGGTGACAAGATTCATCAGATAGGCAGGGTGTGTGAGTTTACAACATCAGACAGTCTCATATGTGTGTTTTGGTACAAAATGTCTTTGGAAATGAAGTCTCTGCGGTCTTGTTTATTTTGGCAAGTTAGCGCCACTTCAAAGTCGGAACTTCAAATGTTGTGAGGCCACTTTCAACAAACATTTATCAATTTTCTGCATAAACGGTTATCTCATTACATGTGCCATTTGATCGCAAATGAATTAGGCTTTCAGTTGGGAAGTTTTTCTAATTTTCGAATCTAAAATGTGGTCAAGTTCTGTGTGTGCCTTCTCTGATCAAAATGCTGAGAATCAAAGTATCAAACTGAGTCCTAAATGGAGCTGCACACCAGGGGACAGTTGGCTATTTCAGTTGTTCAATTTGATTTCGTAATATTGCCCACGTCTTCAATTATTTGCATGACAAGCTGTGGCCTAAAGTAGAGATGCTCAATTTTAGGACCAAAAAAAATGATATGTATTTTTGATTTTTCTGACAAGTTTTGCAGTTGCAATTGGATTTGTGATGTACATAGAAAAAAAAAGGGATTCTACACTGTAAACAACTCCAAGAGCATTCATCCATGAGAGAAGACTGAAATGTGACCTGATTTAACTATTACAGGAATCACATGTTTGAAGAGGTTTAACTACAGGTAGAATAAGATTGTCTATAAAAAGACATTTTGTTGTTTGCTGAGGACATCTATTATGTAATTAATTGTGTTTTTGCCAGGGACATTAACACATTAACTCATGCAGTTAATCAAAACAAACTGACTCAATTATAAAGTTTAAATTACAGCATCAAAATCATTAATCATAATTTGCAAATTCTTACATTCACATATTTGGTGAAACCTTGCATTTATATGTTTTTGTTGGGGTTGATAACTATCTGCACTATTATTCCACTTGGTTGTAATGAAAAGGAAAACGCACAACTCAGCGACTTGTCCAAATGTAGATTGACTTGATAAGTTTGAGAAGATGAGAGATTGACCTCATCTTTTGGCAGTGTGGGTTCACGTCTCTCTGGTCATTGATGTCCTCCAATCTCCTTGGATAAACATAGCTCTCTCTCTCTCTCTCTCTCATCTTTTTACTGCCGTCAGTGTAATATTCTATCTCCTGCTGTGAGGGCGGAGGCGCGGGGAGAGAAAATTGAGATCCATCAGTCTCCTCCACACAGACGGTGTTTAAAGCAGTGGGCAAAAGATCAGTTTGACCTTTATCCCCGAGTATATGTCCTGTAATAGGCTGTTTCACTGGGTCTGTCAGATGAGACCTTTATATTTCCTCTGTCTGTATAAACCGTATAGGGGCTATCAAACACACAGGGGGATGAACACTGCTCAATTATCAGATGTGTTATAGTGATACTGAAGTCAAACTTTAATTCAAAGCTGGTGTGCCTCATTTTCAAAAAGTGAAAGAAGAAAGTAGGTGTTTAAATATTGGCACATCATTACTATTCATATGCAAGATTTTTTTCCACCACTAACTCAGCTTTAGAACAGCTTTTGCAGACAGAAAAGTGAAGCAGGGTTCACCGCGCTTGTTTTCACTCACATGATACTTTCTTACAAGTTTGCAAAAAAATCTAATGTTTAATAATAAGATGAAAACGATGTGTTGGAGTCTGCTTTTTATCACAAAGTTCTTTTACTATCCACTTTCTTTAAGCAAAACAGGATTTACTTATGAGAAAAAAGTTGGGTAGCTTTAAATGGCTATTAAAAATAATAGAATACAAGTCTGATGCAACCAATTTCTTTTTTGCTTTTTATGAGTGCAACAATTTCCCAGTGTAACGACATGATTTTACTGCCTCAGGATTGGCTGTAGACTTATTATGTGATCACTGACAATTTCTAACTCTTTGTACAAATTTGCTGTGACCTGGTGGTTGCTATCATAACTTTTTTTATATTCACTCTTTACAAAATGTATAAGTCACCCTGCCATCGAGACCATTTAAGCGGCTAAATGTTGTTAATGGATCATGGTGAGATGCTGGCTTTGTCTTTCAATAGATAAAGACTTGCTTAAAATTGTATACCATTTATAATAATTTGCAATGACAGTAAATCTGGCTACACAAAAACTGCATCAGAATGAGCGAGTAACCTATAACACAAATCTAACATCTCAAAAGCGCTCCTTAATATTGCATTATGTATAAGTTGGATGTCACTTCCCCACTGATACATTGAACAAGTCTTTGAATACAGACTGTAATAGTTTTAGAAGAGGACAGGTTTGAGCTGAGAGGAGATTGGCGTTTTGCATGAGCACACAGGGCCCATTTAAGAGACACATGAAAGTAAGTGGAGGTGATGTTTCTCTAAATGAAGTGTCACTGCTCACCCAGGTCAGACTCTTCATACAGATTCAACACATTCATCTGTATACGCTACAGTTGGTCTGCTCTCGATTTCAAAACTATAATTTCCCTATTTGTTAGTGATGTGGTTTGCATAGAGTTTCAAAAAAAAAAAAAAAAAAAAAAAAATAGCTTGTCTCTTTAAGGTGGTCGATATTGTAGTACATGATGTTAGACATACTATTTTATGCTTAAAGGTATTACGCAAAATTGACTCTTGTTAAGCCATGTAAAAATGTTTCCTCCTCAAAAACAGACCTGGAGTTGTGTTTTGTTTCATTCACACATGTTTGAGTAATTCTTTATTATAAGTCTCTCTGCATCT